CTCCTCTTCACTAGACTCCACGTCATCCATGTCTTCTTCTAGAGCGCTAACCCGAGGCTCCAGCTGCTCAGCTTCCTCGAGCACATAGCGTTTCTACAAAGAACACAATGAGAGTTAGGGGGCCTTCCTAGCTCCTCTATATCCTGACGCCCCAAAAGTAAACTTCTGGGATTAACAGAAAAACTATGGAGCAACAGCTGAGGCAATTTCCTTTCATAGACATTCTAGACAGTTCAAGACATTCCTAGGGAAAATACCTGAAATATCTATATACTCCTTTAAGTTCTGTAAACAGATAAATACAAAGCTGAAGGGAACATCTTCATTTTCCGTTGGCTCTATTCCCTGTAATTTATACTCTTAAGGTCAATGGGATGTCAATCGGTATAGGTATAGCCTTGAATAAAAAATGTGGGCTTCGTATACAAAGGCCTTAAGTTCATAGCTGAGTCTTTTGGCTGGTAGTTCCTCCAGGAGAGGCTCTGACCAGAATCTACCAAGAGATCCACTGGGGCTCAGCCCAGTATAGGGGCTGAAGAGTGCCTTGGGTCCTGTTTTAGAATAGCACCAATTCTCTACTAGACCCAAGATTTAGGGAGCTGTCTAGAGTCGTATGTTTTCAACAAGGCCCAGGAAATAATTCATCTCCTGGTTCCATTTTATTGTGAGATGTGGCTTAGCAGTGCTTATCAAGTAATTAAGGAGCTGAAAGGCAAAGGTTAGTTCAAAATTGCCAAATGGACTAGATAGGTTATAAGATCCCTTATCATTTTCTTGTGCCAAGGACTTAAAGAATGTGGGGTAGCCTGAAAATAAATAGTAACATTTGTACGCTACTTAGCTTTTACTCGTCCCTAATAAAATTCTGTAAAAGTTGGAAGAAATGAAACAAAGATGCCACTCAGTGAAGTCAAACCTCAGAAAAGGGCTCCTTGAAAAAGGGGTCTCCAGTCACAGGATCACCAGTTTGGGATCTAGGACTGCAGCAGAATGGCATCTGGAATCCCTACTGCTTGCCAGACTCAGAAGTGACTAAAGTCTATATTAATTCATAGTATTTGTGTTTGATGAAATTAGAATTCATTCAATGGCAGTTCCTTGCCAATGTCAGGGTACATGAAAAGCTAAAATGATATAACCTATGGGTTGCTTAATAAGAACAGAATCAGAGCAGAAGGTTGTCTTAAGGGTCACTTCATCTAGGACACGTGGAGGCCCACACCAGAACACACCTCTTGGTGATATAATCAGAATTCAAATTCTCTCGTCTCAGTGAGGATTGGTTTTAGTCTTCTAGACTCTATGCAGATCACCTCATTTACACAGGTGGCCTGCTTAGAGCTGACTCGAGTTCGGAACCCTTATATACAAATGTGATTGCACCTCAAAGTATTCCACTGCTTATAGTATTTCTAAAAACAATGATAGCAACTAAAGATAATGATAATAATGATGATAATAATAGCATCTAAAGTAACCCACAATCAGTGTGAGAATTGGGCTCTGAAAGCAAGTTTTCAGATTTGAAATCTCATTCTCTTCATTATAGTAGCCAATATGGAACAGGAGAGAGATACCACGCTCATTTTCAGCATTTTTATTTTATAGAATTTCCTGTAACTTGGTCACTGTGGAGGAAGAGTTGGTTTACTGCATTTAAGTGTCAGTATTCATTTATCAACTGCTTTCATCCAGCTGGTTTGCTACATTGAGCAAATTTACCTCACTCATCAAATATCTGCAATCCATTCTATTCCATACTTTGAAGTTTTTTAGATCTCCTTGATGTGTTTTCTACGGAGGTTCATGTAACATACAATTAACCATTTTAAAGTGTATGATTCAGTGGCTTTTAGTATATTCATAATGCTATACAACCATCAGCTCTCATTAGTTTAAAAACTTTTCATCACACCAGAAACCACCCACATCTATTAAGTAATAATTCCTCATTTCCCCGCTCCTGGCATCCCCTGGTAATCACTAATTTGCTGTCCCTATGCATTTGCCCAGTCTGAATATATGATATTAACATAATCATATACTATGTGACCTTTGATCTTTAAATTATCCATTTTGGTTTATATCTAGCAAGGAAACAAGCACTTCAGAGCAGGGGGGCGGGCACTATAATACAGCACATTGCTTCAGAATTACTGAGCTGCAGTAGCACCAAAAAGGAAACCTGAAGTAGTGGATCTCCCCAGTTGGGGTTTCTGCGGTTACTTCTAACAAGTAAGAATCTGCTCCCTTTCCCCATCAACAACACTGTCTCTGGAACCCTTTAGTTAATGCTACCACTTCTTATATAAACATACAGAATCAGAGAACAGTAGAGCACTAAGAGCCAAAGGCCCTTACTCTCATCTATTCCAGTGATTTCTGCAATACTTTTTATAACTTCACTGAAGTATAACTGACATACAATAAACTGTAGATTTTAAAAGTATACAATTTGATGTGTTGCATACAATTGTAAAACCATTACATCAACATAATGAACGTATCTACTCTGCCTAAAAGTTCATTTGTGCTCCTTTGTAATCCCTTTCCTTCCCTTCTTTTCGTTTCCTCCCTCCTCCTTCCTCTCTCCCCCTGCAGCCGGGCAACCCACTGATCTTTTTATCACACTAAATTACATTTACTAAAATTTTATGAATGGAATTATACAGTACATACTATTGTTTGTTTTTTTTTTCCTCAGCACAATTATTTTGTGATTCATCCATGCTATTGTGTAAGATTAGTTTATTTTTACTGCCAAGTAGTACCATTTTATGGACATACCACAATTTGTTTATCCATTCACATGATGGACATTTAGACTGTTTCCAGTTTCTGGCCATTACAAATAAAGGTGTTATGATTATTTGCATGTAAGTCTTTGTGTGGACATGTGCTTTCATCTCTCGAGTAAATGCCTAGTTGTGGAACGGCTGGATACATGATTAACTTTTTAAGAAACTGCCAAACGTTTCCAAAGCAGTTGTACCATTTTGTAGTCACCACTAATGTATGGAGACTTGCCGTTCCCCCACATCCTTGCTAACTCTTGGTATGGTTAGTCTTTCTGATTTCAGACAGTCTAATAGTTATATAGTGTGTATTACTATGGTTTTTAATTTGCATTTCCCTAATGACTGATGGCATTGAGCATCTTACGTACTATTGGCCAACCAAATATTTTCCATGATAAAATGTCTGTTTAGAATCTTGTTCATTTTTCCACTGGGTTATCTTTTTGTTATTAAATTCAAGAGTTCTTTATAGAATTATACTCATGACCTTTGTTGGGTATATGTTATGTTGTGCGAATAAATTCTTCCAGACTGGCTTGCCATTTTAGTTTTGTATTAGTGTCTTTTGAAAAGAAAGATTTTAATTTTTATAAAAGCCAATTTATTAAATTTTAATAAATCATGCTTTTTATGTCCTATTATAAATTTTTATCAAACCCAAGATCACTAAGATTTTATACTGTTTTCTTTCAGAAATCTCAGGCTTAGTTTTTAAAATTAAGTCTATTATACCCTTCAAGTTGATTTTTATATATGATGTGAGCTAAGGGTGGAGATTTATTTGTTTCCATGTGGTTATTCAATTGTTTCAGCACAACTTATGGAAAAGATTATTCTTTCTCAATGGTGTTGCCCTGACATCTGTGTAGGACACCAACTGATTACACATGCATGCATGTGCGCGCACGCACGCACACACACACACTTTATTTCTGGTCCTTTTAATTTCATTCCATTGATCCCTTTGTCTATCTTCATGCCAATACAACACTGTCTTGGTTACCATACCAAGTCTTGGAATCAGGTAGTGTCTGTCCTCCTACTTTGTTCTTTTTCAAAGTTGTTTTGGCTATTTTAGGTCCTTTGCATATTCATATAAATTTTAGGATCAGCTTGTCAAGTTCTACCAAAGCCTACTGGGCTTTTGATTGGAATTAAATCTATAGATTAATTTGGGAGAATTGACAGCGAAACAATTGTAAATCATGGTATAAGATATACCAGGGACATATCTCTCCATTTACTTAAGTCTTCTTTAATTTCTCTCAGTAATGGTGACATTTTGTAGTTTTAAGTGTAAGTTTTACACAACTTTTGATAAAATCCTTTATATTTTTCTAAGTACCTTTTTAATAAAAATTTAAATTCCAATTGTTCATGGCTATAAAAATTCCAATTGTTCAATCTATAAAAATATAACTGATTTTTATAGATTGACTTTATATCCCACAATTCTGCATAAACAGAAAAATGGGTAAAGAGAATGTACTACATTAATTCCAAAATGAAAGCTAATCTATCAGGACAGAGAGCATATCAGTAGTTGCTTAGGGGTGAGGGAGAGAAGTGGGAAGGAGGGATTACATAAAAGGAGGAAACTTTTTGGGGTGATGCATATGTTGACTATTGATTGTGATGATAGTTTCAAGGGTGTATACATATGTCAAAACTTAACAAAGTATACACTTTAAATATATGTAGTTTATTCTATGTCAATTATACCTTAATAAAGCCATTTAAAGAAAACAAGCCTTTGTTCAAATGGAATCTCACTCTCAAGCCCAATATGTAACTTAGAGAAAAAAGGAGCCCTGGTTGGGATATGTGGGCTGTCTTCTCTTATTCCTCTTAGTAGCCTTAAACACTCCCACAGGGCAGTTTAAAGACTACTGAGGTAGTCTAATTTCCCCATTTTAAAGATGGGAAAAGAAGACCAGGTCCCACAGCTAGTAATTTGTAATAACCCTGAAACTTCGGTCTCCTAATTCCCTGTTCAGTCATTTCTCCACTTTCTCTTTAGAAATCTCCACATATCTTTCCCTATCTCTTTAGGCTACCTGCTATATCTGTTTTCCCTTTGGATTTTCAACAGTAGTTTTAAAATCGTATTCTAAAACCCATTCCTGAAAGGTGTTTCATGGACATCATTTATCTCTAGGAAAGGGAGGCAAAATGAGTACAGTGGTATTTTAGAGGGTAATGTCTCAGTGTCTCAGTCCTGATCCTCCTTTTATCAATTTTATATCCTGAATTTTTATATGAAGATCAATTTGCAAAAAGCTGCCCACAAAGTTTAAAAATCTACCCTAGCTACAAACTCCTTGATATAACATTTTAAAGAAGTTTTCTTGTATTATTCACTTTTAAAGTCTTACCCTTCAAATTATCTGCTTTCCTCTCACTCCCAATCCCCTTTTTCATAGACATGAAGACTACTTATTAAGAAGGCCCCTGAAATCCATCAGCTTCAATGGTTTATTGTTCATGTGTGTTTGTCTGCCTGCCTGTTTTAGGGGGGAAAAGGGTGACTCAGGTACGAGACCTTTATCGCTTACCTGTAGTCGGGGCAGAATGATATCACATACTCTCTCACTATGCAGTAATTCATCAATGAACTCATCTACGTGCATCAGTTCAAACTCTGAAAGAAAAACAAGCTCAAGCAACTTGCAAATACATTTAGATAGCCAAATGTAAAAGAAATGTAAGACTATATATGTAAAATAGCTAACAAGTATAGAAAGTGTGAATTCCCTGCAGCTTCCCTTTCCCTGCACATTCACTAGTAGAGCTACTGCAGTGTGGCAATCACACAGAGGGCACTACTGTCAAACCTGGGCTCAAAGGACAGTCCGTCATAGTCTGTTATCACCACCTATCTTCATTCATTCAACTTACTTTTATTGAGACCATCTATGTGCCAGGACTCTTTTAGGAGCTGGGGGTCAAGGGGTAAATGAAGTTGTCCCAGTTAGCAGGAGAGAGAAACACAAAAGCAAGCAGAAACAGTATTGAATTATATAGGGGTGATGTTCTCGAATAGATTATATAACTAAAGTATAATTTCTCACGTGAACACACTATGTTTCTGAATATAGATCATGCATCTTATATATAGTAAATGGAGCAATTTCAGAATTTCTACAGTAAACATTAGTTTAGTAGTTCTCAGCCAAGGATGTTTTGCCCCTGAACTTGGTGGGGGTGTATGTGCTACTGGCATCTGGTGAGGAGGCCAGGGATGCTGCTAAATATCTTAAAATGCACAGGACAGCTTCCTACAACAAAGAATTATCTAGCCCAAATGGTAAATAGGTTGAGAGGCCCTATCTTAATTTAACATAATATAAATATGTAATTCCATGATGGCCCTGACCATATCCATCTTTTCACCATGTTATTTCCAGTACACAGCAGAGTACCTGGCGGATGTTGGCATTTAATACACATTTATTCAATGAATGAATTAATAAGTTAACAAAGTGTAAAGTCTAACACCAAATTCTTAACCTTCAAACTGCTTAATGATACATGTAGAGGGGAAATGTTACCAAACTTTTAGGACACTGAGTGAGAAAAGGTTTTGATTGCATAATCCCCAATCCCACTTTACCAATAAAAGTGCTTTGAGAAGGTCTGAAGCTGCCTGTTGGATATACTTATTTTTCAGTGGGACTCCTACATGAGTATTAAGTACATTTAGTCTGTATACTGCAGTGGGAAGTCTAGTGCCAGAGAGGACAGTAGAAGGAACTCTGAAGATGTAACATGGGAAACTAATTTTGGGAGGTTTGGGGAAGGCTTTTATGGAGGAGGTCATTCCGGAGCTAGATCTTATGGGATGCAGCACATGATGCAAGGCAGGGATTAACATGATGCAGCTGGGAAGGTGAACTTAGGCTGGATACAGGAAGGCCACAGGAAGCTAGTAGTCTAATGGAATACTTCCCACAAGGGAGATGAAGGGGAGCACTCACAATGTATGTGACAATGTGAGGGTGGAGCTATTGGTGAAATAAAAATTGGCTTAGGGATGAAGATCCAGTCACATGGCACCATACTCACCCCCATTTCGGTTCTGGCTCTTGATTTTTCTATAGTCGTTGTACAGAGGCTCCAAGTACTTGTAGCAATCAATTGCAGTGCCTGTCAGCCTCATGTAAAGGGCTCCCAACATGCGGACATACCTGACCAATAAATGAAAGTGAAACAACAGATCCTAAAAAGTTCTAAAAGTTTCTAAAAGTTCATCCTAAAAAGTGCCTGAGTTTTACAACTGGCTTTTCTCATCATAATAGTGGATAAACAAATTTTCTTCTTCTCTTTGGCAGATAAGAAAGCTGCAATTTTAGAGGTAACATGGGGCAGTAGAAAGAGCTAAAGTATAGAGACCTGGGTTCAAGTTCCCATTCTATCACTTACTGGTTGTAGAAGTTGGGATGTGTTCAACTTTCACAGACTATTACATCATCTGCTAAACTAAGATAGAACCTACTTACTCCACAGGATTATTTTAAGAATCAAATGAGATAGCTGAATTTAACAACAGAAAGTATGAGATATATTTACCAACTATACAAGAACTAATACATATAGCAATGACTAAATTGTTTCTAGGCAGCAGAATGCTGCTTCACAGATAAGTATAAGAAACTTATCACCAGAAGCAGCATTCTGCTGCCTAGAAACAATTGGTGGGAAAAAATCAGTCATCTGGGTTCAAATTCTGATTCCATTATTTACTAACTTTGAAACACTGGGCAAGTTACTTGCTTTCTCAATCCTTGTAAAATTGTAACTTGCTGGCCTGGAGTATTAAGTAACAAATGTGTGTAAAGTGCTAAGCATAGCATACAGCACATAGTAAATGTCTAATAAAAGTTAGCTATTTTCTAGCTGTTAGAGTTTTGCAAGATTACGGACTCTGAATCCATCTTTGCCACTTACTAGCTGTTTGACCTTGGGGAAATTACCTAATCTCTTTATGCCTAATTTTCCTCCCCTGTAAATGGGGATAATTTTACAGCGTTATTGTGAAGGTTAAAGAAATTATTATATGTAAATCCCATAGAATAGAGGGTGAGACATAGTAAACTATTATTATATCTGTTTCTTATACTTATCTGTGAGCAACTTGAGAATGGATAATTAAAACAAGAGCAGCTCACATTTTTGGAGTGTTTACCATGCAACACACAACTGTGAGATTTATAGCACTATCTTCTTTAACCTTCACATCATTCCTGAGTTGATATTACTACTTCCATTTTACAGGTAAAGAAAATAAAGCTTTAAAAATTAAGTAACTTCTCTAAGGTCACAGTAAGAAACTGAGACTGGATATGAACTTATATCTAATGCCAAAAATTTCTCTCTTATCTACCATACTATGTTGTTTTCTTCACCCTTGAGCATCCAGTGACTTTGTGAAATATTTTTTGTGGGTGAAAAGTTACCAAGACTGAGAACGAAAAGAAGATCAATACAATCAAAATAGACATAATAAAAATTCAAGAGTTCAAAAGCGAAATCCTAGAGTGGAACTCTCTGTGGAAATGAGATTCATTGTTATCACTCCTCTTAACCAAAGCCAAATTCTGGGCCCGTTTAATTGAAGCTTTTGTATTAGCTAGTCAACATTTTACTCACTTGAAGTCTTCATTCTTTATAAACTCAACAATAATATCCTTCTCCGGTTGAATCTGAAGCATCTTCAAGGTCAAACACAGAAAGGGAGTTGGCTTTATGTTGCCACCATAGACGCCACCCACAAACCTTAACTCCATGGCTTTATCGACTACAAGTTCAGCTGAAAAAAACAAACAAAAACAGAGTGGCATCTCAGACATATTAGGGCTAAGCTTTCCCCAGTTAGAAGTGGAGAAAAGTTAGTTCAAGGTTTGGTGCTCCTTACTACTCATCAACAGTTTACTATTAGAAGAACAAGTGTGTATTAATAGTCATAATAAATGATGATCATGTATTGATGTATTACTACAAGTATATGCCGCATACTCTGCTAAACATTTTATATTATTTCATTTGACCTTCACAACAAGCCATGAGGTATATTCTAGCACTGCCCATTTTCAGCTAAGGAAAATGAGGGCTAAGAAAGGTTAAGTGACTTGCTCAAGGTAAACAGCCAGAAAATGGCAAGTCCTGGATTTAAATCTAAGCAGTCTAACTTCAGAGTCCACACTTGTGATCATCATGTTAGGGGAAAAACTGCCAAATTAGGAATTAAAAGTATCAATATGAGAATGTCCAAACCTGTAGAGAATTTTTGTAAGAGTTTATTTGAGCCAAACTGATGATATGCTGGGAAGCAAAATCTCAAATGTTCTAGAAAATGAGTTTCACATTTCTTTTTATACATTTGGAACTAAGGAAGAATACAGGATGGTGGGAGAAAGCAAGGTGGGCAAATCTCTATGATTGGATTAGAGGATAGTTAACAAGATTATGTGCTCCTAAAAAGTGGATTACTCTGACATTTCAAAGGTGTGTTAACCTAGATGCACAACCATGGACAGGGCTTGCTTAAGGCACAGATAAACCTTTTACTAAAGAAGGTATAGTCCTGGGGCATGACTACCCAGAATGATCTGCCCAGTTAAGAATTTATGATCAGAGCTGTGGAGTTACTTTTGGTCACTAACATGTCAGATCGACTGCAAAGCTCCTTTTTTCATTCACAAAAGAAACAAAACAGAATAACAACTCAATAGGTACATAACCTTGAGCAAACCTGTTCTCATCTACAGAATGGGGATAATAACCTTTCAATGTTATTGCCAAAATCAAACACTAGCTGTGTGAAATGAACTAGGGCAAGACATTACACCTCTCTTTGGACCTGTCAATTCAAATTTAAATAATAAAGGTACAAAGTTTAAGAGCTATAGTGAGAATCAAATGAGACAATACAAATAAATGCTAATACCTTACCTGACACACAGCAAATAATAAACGTTAGCTACCATTAATGGGAAATATTTTTATATATTAGACTTCAAGTTCCTTTAGGATAAATTCTGTATTAATTCATTCAACATTACAATTGACAGCTTATAGCTGGATGTTAAATACTAGAGATACAGATAGAGGGATAAAGAAAAGGAACACAATTACTACTCTTACAGAGTTTACAGTCTAGCAAGGCAGAAAGCATCGAAAAAAATAATTGAAAGTGTGATGAGTTGAAAGAAGATGCAAGGGCCGGTCGAGTGGCTCAGTTGGTTAAGAGCTCGCTTAAGAATTTGAGCTCTGAGCAACAGCGGTTCGAGTCCAGCCCGAGCTGAGCAGCCGCTGAGCTGCCAACAGGTAGCAGGATGGCTCAGCTGAACAAAAACAAAAACAAAAAAAAGAAAGAAGATGCAGAATGCAATGAAAATATACCACAAGGGAATACAATCTAGTGATGCAGGCAAAAAAGGTCCCGAGTTCACTTTTGGCCATATTGGGTTGGCATGTCTTGAAATTAGAGATTAGATCTCAGGGTAAGGTCTGGGTTGGAGAAATGAATTTGAAGGCATCTATATGTACAGGATGTAACTATATTATGGAGATCACCCACGGAGAGAACTATGGAATGAGAAACTATGATTCATCCATGGAATTCCAGCTAGTGGTGGTGGCAGCAGCAGTAACAGCACAGTATTTAACAGTGGTAAAAACTAGCACCACCACTACCATTGATCACTGATCGAGTACTTTTTATCAATATATACCTGTAACTATACCAAACACTTTTTATACGTTATTGCATGTAATGATTAGAACCACCCTTTGAGGGGGCCAGGGGTATTATACTCGTTTCACAGTCGAGGAAGCCATGACTCACTGGAGTACCGAGCTACTAAAAAAGAGGAGCCAGAATTCCAACAAAGGCGAAAGGACTGCCTGGCAGAATTCTCTTAAGAACTGATATTAGGATCCGAACATGGAAATACTGCAGGTGGTCCAGATTCAGTGATAGTAAGATCATAGATTTGGTTCTAGTCATGCTGACTTTCGTTGAACACCTTCAGAGGTTCCAGAACTTAACATTGTTTGGAACCCACCAAATTATCATTAAACATGGAACGATTCAAAGAACACAACCGAGACACCCTTCGGAATAAGGCTCTATTATCTGTGTGTCCAAAGCCCAAAAGTCTAGGCACATAGTAGGCGCTCAGGAATCTGAATGACAGATTCCCCTCCAGTGTCACCCGCGCCCCAATCAGGAGAACTGGGCTACAAGGCGGCCGATGGGGAGTCAGCGTGCTTCCACTCACCGGTAAGCCCAAAGCACTCCTCTTTCCAGTACTTGGACTCATAGATTCGCGTCCGAATGATCTTCTCCACCAGATATTGAGGGTTGGTGCCGTGGATGCTGTGCGCATCCTTTACCGTGCGGTTCGCCATTTTAGAACGCCTCCAGTTCTATTTCCGTCGGGTCCTTTAGTGCGTCACATCCACGTTAAAAAAAAATCAGAACTAGAGAAAGGTGGAGGAAGTCTCATTTTAATAGTTTAGGCGACCATCTTGAGACCGGAAATGCTGTAGCGTAGGGGACATTCTTCCGCAAACGGCGTCGCTGATGGTATCAATGATGGCCGCTGCACGTTGACGTACGTACGTCATGGATAAGGTGGGCGGGACGGGAGGGCTGGCTGGTGACGGAACGTGGAGACAGCCTGGGGGCGGGGCCACTACGTTTGGCGCGAAATTTTATTCTCTCCACCTTGTTTCCATTCCTCGCAAGGAGCCGGCTTCCGCTCCGCCGTGCGGCTCGGTGGCTGCAAGAGGAGTCCATCTGGTGCAGGCGAGAGTTGCTGCAGCTCCACGAGCTCCAGAAGCGGAGACGGTGGGGAGTGGAGGGTTTGCGCCTAGCTTCAGGAAATTTCAGCGCCCGGTGAGTGTGGCGTCCGGCGGCTGGAGGGGAACCTGAGCCGCGGGAACTGAAGCAGTTGTGCTTTGTAGACTCATTCCGTCATTGATTCATCCAACAGATATTTACTAAGCCACATTGTCAGGCACTGTTCTAAGTCCATTAGGAACATTCCTTTTCCACACCCTGAATGCTAAAAGTCTTCCCGCTCCGCCAGAGACGGCGAATTTTTCTGTGGGGTAGCCGGAAGCCAACAGCATAGAAGCATGCGCATTGCTACCTTCAGCCTCCTGAGACTCTCAGTAATCATTACTGATCTTAACCATCCCTTCTGTCTGCATTCCCCTTGTGAAGCATCGCATGTTTTCCTGCTTTGAGCCGTAGTGTAGCAAGCACCACCGGGAAGTCGGAGCCGTAGAAGTTACTACCCTATTTTACGGATGTAGCTATTGCACCCAGAGAGAGACTTGTCTCGGAGATCGCATTTAGTGAACAAGCGGTTTGGGCTCTTACCCATGTCTTTTTCCAATTGAGCTGCTCTTAACTGCTGGGCAGTCACCCACTCCACATTCTTTATAGGAGAGAAGTCTAATGACACCTTTTCTACTTTCTGACCCTAGAATAGAAGGACCTTCTGTTTTGACACTTGGAAAAAGCTCTGGGCTTAGAGGCATGAGATGCAGGATTCTCTTTCTGGCGTACCATCTGTAAAACTGCAATAATTAAATGTTAGTTTTCGATTTTAATTGTCTGTAAAAATGGGTACTGGGTGCTTGTGAATGCCAGTAGAAGTTTCTGAGGTGAGAGCGTATTTTACCAAGTCCCTCTGCAACAGTTTTTAATCATACCAGAGGGCAATATGTGGACTTAGAAGGTATATGAATCCCCTGAAATGGAATGTAAAATTTTTGTGTGAATTATATGTGAGTTTAATAACATTCAACAAATTAGTAAAAAGAAAAAAGAACCACTATCCCTTACAAATAGAGCAAGGGTTTAAGGAAATGAGGGAGTGAATTTACCATTTTGCATTTTCTCACTTAATCCTCAGTAATCCTAGAACAGTGCTTGACACACAGCGGGAGATGAATAAATATTAGTTGAATAAAAGGAAGGTTATATTATTATCCCATTTTATGGGTAAGGAAATTGAGACCCATTTGTCCTCTCAGTCAGTGTCTGGGAAGCCTGAATTATTGTAATAAGCACACCAAAAGCAAGTTCTCTCAGGCATAGATTTAACGTTATCCACTTTCACTTAAAATGAAGTGGTTAAGAGCAGTCATTAGAATCTGGTTGCTCAGGGGTTGAATTAAGGCTGTGCCATCCTGCATAGCATTGGAACAAGTTATCTTGAAGTTGATAATAGCATCTATCTTTCATTCAGCAAATATTATTGTGTGCCAATTGTGCACTTAGTACTATGTACTAACATTGTTCTAGGATTATTGTGAGGATTAAATGAGATAAATATATCAAGAGTTTTGGCTCAAATATCTGCAACTCCCTTATCTGTTTTTCTTGGGTGTGACCCCTGGACTGGGTGGTATGTATGTTCCAGATATCTGGTATCTGCAATATTGAGAGCATGAAGTGGGTATCTCCTGGAAGCCAAAGCCTTTGCTAGGCCAAATCAGGCCTGTCTTTCCACCCCATTCATCACTCCTCTTGGGGACCCTTTCTGCTGATGGTGGATGGGATGAAATGCTGGTGGAGGGTAAGAAAGTGGGAAACAGTGCAAAGAGACCTGACACCTGCTATGATTTTCCTCTGCTGCCTCTTCAGGACTCCTGATTAATTTTTTGAACTTTTCATTGAAAAATAGCACACATAGAGAAAAGTACACATCAGAAATGCGCAGCTCAATGAGTTTTTTTAGTTGTTTAAATTTTTTACTTGATAATCTTTTGAGCTAATCTGCCAGTTTTAGAAATAGCATGTCAGTGAGTTTTCCTAAAAAGAACATACCCATGCAACCAGCATCTAGATCAAGAAACAACATGACCAGCATCCCAGGAGCACTGCCGTCCCCAACTGTGCTCCCTTTCAGCCACCTTGGTTATCTTCTATTCTGACTTCTAACACCAGAGGTTACTTTTACCTCTTTTTGAACTTTATATAAATGGGATCAATATAGTATGTATTTTGCTGATTTCTTCAGCTCATTGTTATTTTGTGAGATTTTCCCCACCTTGTGTGCAATTGTAGTTAGTTTTTTGTTTTTTTGTTTTTCTTTTAAAGATTTTGTTGGGGAATCGGGGATGGGAACAGATAAGTTGCTGTCCTCTTGTTCTTTTGTCTAGTTGTGGAGGATGTAGCTTCACAGGCCCATGTTGTTATTATCACTGTGCTCTTCCCTATTGAGGCAGTTGCTTGCTGGCCATTGGACAGCCCATTGGGCGCTCGGCAGCTCACGAAAGTGCCACTTGGCCGGCCCTGTAGTTGGTTTAATTTCATTTAATTTCATTATAATGATGCTATGAACATTCTGGCTCATGTCTTGATGATGTGTGTTTTTCTGGGTATATTTTGTTGGAATTGCTGGGTCATAGGATATGCATGCTTTAATAGATAGCACCAATTTAACAAAATAGTTTTATCAATTGTGGTGCCCTCCAGCAGTGTATGAGAGTTGTGGCTGCTCTACATCTTTACAACACTTGGTATTGTCCTAATTATTTTCATTCATTTCATTCATTTGTTCATTCACCTATTATGTGCCAAGTCCTAACGTAGGCCCTGGGGATGCAGTTATGAACAAGATAGACAAGGTCCCAAGGTCCCTGCTCTTTTGGAAGTTAACATTCTAATGTGGGAAACACAATAAATAGAAAATTAACATAGTGGTTACTGCTTTAATAATAAGGTGGTATAAAGGAACATGACCTTGAAGGGGGTGGGTAGTAAAGGTGTGGAGGAGTAGCTTTCCATTGGGTATCAGTGAAGGCCTCTCTGAGGAAGTTTCATTGCAGATGAGATCTGAGCCTTCTCTGCAAGAATTTGCATGAAGAGAGGACAGCAACTGCATAAGTCTGAGGGCACTAACAGCCTTGGTCTGTTGGAGATTTGGAAAAGCAGGCCTGGAGCAGGTTATGCAGTTCAGACCCAGATAGACTTCTTTCTATACCCCCTGCCTGCTCAGCCTAGGGTGAATCACCCACTTTTGCATACACATATGTATACATCACAGTCCCCCCTTATCTGCAGTTTCACTTTTTGAGGTTTGTTACCTGTTTCAACTGCGGTCTAAAAATATTAAATGGGAAATTCCTGAAATAAAAATTCATAAGTTTTAAATTGCACATGATACTAAATAACATGATGAAATTTTGCACTGTCCTGCTCTATCCCGCCCAGGACTTGAATCATTCCTTTGTCCAGTGTTATCCATGCTGTATGTGCTACTAACTGGTTAGCCGGATCCATTTATCAAATTGGTTTTCAGATATTTTGAGAGAAAGACCACATTCACATAACTTTTATTGCAATATATTTTTATAATTGTTCTGTTTTATTATTAGTAGTTAATGTCTTACTGTACCTAAGTTATAAATTAAACTTTGTCATAGGTATGTATGTATAGGAAAAAATAGTGTATATATAGCGTTCAGTATCCACGATTTCAGACATCTACTGGAGTATTCAAATGTATCCCCTGAGGGTAAGTGGGACTACTGTACTGGTCTCATTGAACACAGCTCATGATCTAGAAAAGGAATGTTAAATTTTATCTTGACTTGGTTTTAAAGGGGGATGTTTGCTTTATTAAGCTAAAATATGGTCTAGATTTAAAGGAATTGAGAGTATGGATTTGATGCCTTAGGTATACATGAGTACCTTATTGGTATGGAGGTAGTCCTTCTGTACGCCAATTTTTGGTTTCAAAAAATGAAATCATTGTATGAGTGTAACCAAATGTCATAGTCAAAATGACAAATCAGGCCATTTATCTTATAGTTAGATTATTTAAAAGTTGTAGAAAGTTTGCTGAGAGATACCAGCTTGCCTCAAAACACTCCCTGACATTCCAATTTTTTTTTTTAATGACAGAGTTTAGTGAGTATTTCAGTTTACTTGCATCTTTTATCTGTATCGCAGCCTATTTTGCCAGATTCATTGAGGAAAGGTTACAAGTTTACTTCTGAACAGTTCTGTACTACCTCAGCCATTAAAAGGAACATATATTGAAGGTAAGTTAATGTTATATATTTCCTTGAACATTTATTGAATCAGACACTTTTACCAAAAGATCATATAAATCCAAATTCATTTTTTCTTGAGCACAAGTCTTCTACTTGTTTTCACTCATCAGTCTTCTTTGCTGTTTGTTGATTTCTACCATGTATTTAATTGAATTTAGATTGACTTTAATAGTACTCTACTGTGAATTATACTGTTGATGTTCTTAATGGTAATCATTCAGGCATCATTTGTAAGCTGTGTATTTACTTGTGACTCAGTATCTTCTCTTTTTTTTTTTGCTAACTAGTTCTTAATGGCAATCATTCAGGCATCATTTGTAAGCTGTGTATTTACTTGTGACTCAGTATCTTCTCTTTTTTTTTTTGCTAACTAGTTTCCACAAAGTATACTAAAAATAACCTTTATAAAAGCAGAAAATCTTATGGGTCAAAATGTTCCTGAGTAAAATGTAGGACATAATGCTACTGACTTGAGGAAACCAGCTTGTTTAATCAGGATGTTAACATGCTATTCTAATTCTGTTGTTTTCAACATAGACTGAAATTATTGGTCCCCTTAGCAGTAATTCAGAGTAATTGTGTCAGACTGTATTTAAGAATTTTTTTTACCCCAGTTTTGTCCAATTTTAGTTCCAAAGAAAAGAATTGAATTTAGAAGAAACGTTTATTTCTGAATTACTTAAACTTAAGATATTAGGTTGGAATTATTATTAGGGCTAGTAGATTACAGTTTTCAAATTTCAAAGAAGATTGGCATATATGTTTAGAATTTTCATTCTCATTTCTGTTTTTGTCAGTAAAAATGTCTTTTTTCATGTACTTTAATACAAGCATTTCTTTTCAGCTATTCACAATACTTATATCTAAGATCTGTCAGCTGCAAAGAAAAATACCCCTTACAACTGCCAGAACAGTACAGGTTAGTGACACTTCTATTTTTTTTCTAACAACTTTAATGGGGTATAATAGCATACAATTAACTACACATATTTGTAGTATATAGTTTGATCATTTTCACATATGTATATACCTGTGAAACCATCAGTGAAATCAAAATAATGAACATCCTTATCATTCCCCTCCAAAAGTTTCTCATGATCTGTAATCCTCTCTATCGGCCCTTTCCTTCCACCCAACCGTCCACGCAGGCCCCTAGGCAACCACTGATCTATTTTCTGTCACTGTGCATTAGTTGCATTACTGATTAAATTTTTTTGAGTGTTAAACTAACCTTCCATTTCTGGAATGCACCCACCTTAATTATTACATATTAGCCCTCTTTCTTAAATATTTCTATATTCATTTATCTAACATTTTGCTTTGGATTTTTGCACCTGTATTTATAAATGCGATTGGGCTGCAATTTTTATTTCTACTAATGCCCTTGTCATACTTTGATATCAGGGTTACGCTGGCCTCATAAAATGGGCTGGAAGGTGTTTTCTTTTCTCCTCTTTTCTGTTCTCTGGAAGAATTTGTATAAGATAGATGTTACTTTTTTCCTTAAGTATTCGGTTTGAATCAACCAGTGAAACCCAGCTGGACCTAGAGTTGTCTTTGTGGGAAAGTTTTTAATTATTGATTCAATTTTAAAATACAGAGTTGTTCATTAATTGTTTTTTAGTATCTGTAGACTCTGTAATAATATCCCCACTTTTATTCCTGATATTGATTATTTAAACTTACTCTGTATTTCTTCATAATTCTCTGGGGGCGGGGGGAGGGGAAGAAGATGGTGGTGTTATAAACATAGTTATTTTTTTCACCCCTTTTCTTTAAAATAATAGCTCCCATTCCTGGCCTGGTGGCCTTATGTAGTAGATGCCCTGTGGGGCCCAGTAGCACAGTGCCCCTGGTCACATGTGCCAGGTGCTCCAGGAGTATCCCTTATGGGTTGCATGTGCTCTTTTGTTATAGTTGAGCCTCGATTGCTATTGGCTTGTCAGTGGGTGGGATTGACCCTCAGGCTCACTGGCTGTGGGGTTTGGCCAGGTCCATAACTTATAGGCTGCTGTGTGGAAGTCTTACCCTACTGAGCAGGATTCACCCCAGTGGGCTCTGGTGCCCTTTGAGACTGCCTAATGGGTGTGCTGCTTGTGGGGCTAATTGGGTGGTGCTCTGCTGGTGGCTTGAAGGCAACCTCAAAGAAAATGTTTTCTAAGTCTGTAATGTGTGAGGGTATTGCTGGGGCAGAAAAAAAGGCTGAACTCATTGAAGGCAGGTACTGTGTTATAGAATCCGTCAAAGCATTATCACATTAACTCAGAAGTAGTGACTTTTAATTGACACAGGAGCCATGGCATACTACACTACAAGGCTGAATACCAGACGAACTTATTCGTGGGTTGGCAGGCCATTGTTGGATCGAAAACTACACTATCAAACCTACAAGTGAGTGATAGAATACTTTTGTTACCAGAAAGCAGGCTCTTCTTGGCGCAGTATCCAGGTTCTTGGCTTATCGAGCAAAGAATTGAATGAGACACAGAAGTAAAGTGGTGAAAGAGTAATTTATTAGAAGAAAAAGAACACTTCAAAGAAGTAGAAGCAGGCCCGAGCAGTAGAGAATGGTTCAAGGGCCATTATTAGAAGAGAAAGTGCACTCCAAAGAGTTTGGAGCGGGCCAAGCAAAGGAAGGAGCTCAAAAGGCCCTGACTGGCCAGGACTTGTAGTTTTTATCCTTTGTTCTCTAGAATGGGCTGTTTCTCTGTGGGCATGGGACCACTTGATGGACACCTGTGATTGGCAACAGGCTATTACCTCATCTCTTTAGACTGCGTATGTTCATTCCCAGAATTTAGTCTGTTATATGATATTAATGAACTTCCGGGCATATGTATGATATTATAATAACGGTATAATGAGGCTCAGGTGAAATGAAGGTCGTTGTGGTCTTTACTGCGCAGGTGTGAGTGACTAGTTTAATCTAGTTGGGTATTTTGTACCTATTTGTTTTCTCATAGAGGTAGACAATTACAATGAATGAAAAGGGGAAGTTTTGGGTGGAGAGGGAAGGTCTTTTGGAGGGTCTCATTCTGTGGGTTGTGTTGGATGTGCAGGAATGCAGAGACCGAATGCCTGTCTCTAACTGCCTCCCTTGTTTTCCCCCTGAGAGATGTGATCCCCATAAAATCTCTATGGGAAGCTGAGGGACAGGAGGTCTTTTCTTCTGTATCTGCTTCCTGCTGGGCAGGGGCGGAGAGCTGTCCCAGCCTATTGGGGGGATTCACGGAACTCTAGCCCTATCTGATCTTAGATGAGAGGAAGGGGTCTTGAGATCCGCCTGGAAGACTGTGTTGGCTTCTTTGGTTGGGACTGGTAATCTTGCTCGGGTATCATCTGTATCCCCAAGGCCCCTGAATGAGGAAAAATAGATTTTAATTAATAAATTTAAAAGTGTTGGCTTAAAGAGCAGAGCTCCAAGCTATTGATGCTGGGTGGCTACGTGATGGAAAACCCATCAGTTCGAATGGAGCTTGTAGCCATTTAACTGGTTACTCAGGGGGTATCAGTTCTCCAGCAGCTGGGCCCAGAATGGGTTGGAAAGAATATTAGGCTTCAATGATTACAATTAGCAAGTATAAATCAAAAATTTTAAGGTAATTATCTAAAGCAGGGGGCAGGAGATGCCTGTGATTCAGATTAAAGACAGCTGATTTACAAAACAGTCAAGCAGGGGATAGGAAATTTCTTTGATTCAGATTAAAAACAATCTATTGTTTAGGATTAAGAAACTGATTTACAAAACAATCAAGCAGGGGGAGAGGAGCCAAAAACTGGGAAAAAGGAAACTTGAAAGAAAAGGAAACTTAAAATCCCCATAAGAAAGAAAACTCAGTTTTTCAGTGGGGGTGCTACTTGTTTGGCCTGTATCACTTTGCATGTCTTGGAAATACTTCTTCAGGCTAAACTCTAAATAGCTTGTATCGAGCCTGTTCTAGTTATGATAGATTGACGATTGAGGGACAGTAAATATGGATTGATTGTAAGAAGAGGTTTTGTTTTATGCAGGAAGAGGGTAGGATAAATACAGCAGTTAATGACAGGAGGTCACAGTATGTCAGGTTAATAAAATGTGATGTGTACGATAATGTCATATCTATTTAAGGTGGGTTCTGTGTAATACTGCATGATAACTATGTCTTCCTAGCCCTAGAGATTTCTGGACATTTGAATATTGGGCAGCTTTCATGCCTTGGGAAGACTTTGGTGTTCTTTGTTCATAAATGAGAGAAGTAAGGTTCATGTTAAAGCCTCTGGATTAATCATTCATGCTAAAACAATTCATTCAATCCATTTTGTCTACTCTTGCATGTGAATTGGCTTCCTAGTAGGAGAATTGGTCTGCAGAAAGAAACTATGTAAGGGATTTTCCAGTTGGAGGGCACTTTCCTCTGAGCCCAGGGGTCTGAAGAACTTGGCCCATCCTAGGTGATTTCCTAACGTTTCTCTGTTACTTCCTAGAGAAATGAGTGTGACATTAGAACATTGTTCAACTAAGATTCACATCCAAGTTGGACAGTTTGTGTTGGTTGAAGGGGATGATGATGAAAATCCATATGTTGCTAAACTGATTGAGCTGTTTGAAGATGGTGAGTTTTGGGTTGCATGAAAACTATTCCTTGTCATGAATAATTGGGAGTTGCTAGGTGATGGGGAAGAGGGGCAGTTGTTGATTCCTCTGTTCACAGCAGCATATACAGTGTGAACCTAGATTCTGATTCTAGATTCTCTTAAGCACTAGCTGTACCCTTCCCATCTAGTGAACTTGACTCACTAGAGCAGTATTGGAAAGAATGGGATTGGGGGCTCAAGAATTTAGCTTTTCTGTTATTTTTAGGAGTGGGTAAGAATGGCCGGATGTTTAGAATGGAGTGAAAGGATGAATTCAGGAAGAAGTGGGAATTAAAAAACAGGTGATCTGCTGTATGATGGAGACTTGTCCTTTAATTTTTGGCATGAGGAAGTTAGTAATGAATTTTGCAAGTGCAACTTTTTAATGAGGGCGGAAGTAAATTGGATTGGGAATGTATATCAGTTGATGTTCAGTCAGGAGGGGAAAAAACCAAAAACGCTTCAGGTGTTTTACCCAGAGAGACTTATGTGTAAGTGTTGAAAAGACGAGAGGAAAAAAGATGGTGTTTACCAGAGATCAGTAAGTTAAAGAAAGCCACTACTGCTGCTAAGGCTGGAGGAACAAAAAGGAAAGTAGTGTTAACCAGATCCTGCAAGTCCTCACTTGTTGCTTCAGCTGATTTTCTGAGCATTAAACCCTCTGCAAAGTAGAGAAGAGTAAAGAAAGATGGGAATGGGGCAGAGCTCCAAAAGGAGGATTAAGAGGAAAGCTAGCAATTTGAAACTATATAAACTGCCTCTTCCAAGAGCTAGAAGAGGAATGAAGAAGTAGTTAGTCCTTTGGCAGTTTGTATGACTAAAAGGAACTGATAGAGTGAGCGGGTAAAGGTGTTTTTACATTACAGAGATAGGAAGAATATTTGACAAATATGGAGGAAAACCTCATTAAGCTAACATCCACTAGGGGAGCACCTCAGCAGTATGGGCTTTTGTATTTGAAGTACTGGCCCTTGTGTACAGTTTTTAGAATCCTTGTGTGGTGCTCCATTGGATGGCTTCAGCCTTTCTCTGAAGATGGCTAAGGAAGAGAAGAGGTGATGATCATGATGGCACCAGAGTGCATGTCCTTTCACTTGAATCTAAGGCTGATAATGAACGATATTAATGGTATATTACAACGATAAAACTGAAGATTGCAAGCATATTTTTTCAGAAGTCATCTAAGTGGCTGATGCTCAGATTCTTGCCAGGAGTTTTGTTTTTCTGCTCTTTATAATCACTGATTTGCAAGATTTGCGCAGTGCCCGTGATTAAAATTGTTCCTCTCAAATGCCTTTTGTAATTTCTCTGATGACTGATAGAACCATTAGGAAGCGGAGCAAAGTGAGAAGTGCATGGGTACTGGGTTGAGTCAGATTGCTGCTGGTTGGTCCAGTGACCTTTGACAAATTATTTAAGGTCCCTGTAACTTGATTACTCTGCCAATAAAAGGGGGATAGCCCTAGTTAGGGTTATTGTGGGGATTAAAAACACTGTGTTAATCAAGTATCATCAAGCACTTAGCACAGTGTTTAGCACAAAATGCTTAGTCAAATGTTCTCTCATTTTCTTAACCTTCCCTCTTCCACCTCTCACTCCTAGATTTTGAACTTCATTCCAAGAAACGTGCTAGAGTTCAATGGTTTATCCGGTTCTGTGAACTCCCTGTCTATAAACAGCATTTGCTGGGCCGAAAGCCTGCTGAACAGGAGGTATTCTGGTATGACTACCCTGCCTGTGACAGCAACATTAATGTCGAGACCATCATTGGCTCTGTGCGGGTAAGTGATGCCTTGATTCTCAATTCTATCTTGAGGTTTATTTCTGGCTGCCTCCTAAACTGCATGGCCTCAAAGATACTACTGGCTGCAATTTACCCCACAGAAATGAGCTTTTTGCTGTTTGTCATCTTCTCTGCTTGTCTGCCCACTTTATTTGAACAGATATTTATTGAGACACTTACCATGTGTTAGGAGCCTCCTGGAGGAAGTGACATTTAGGTTGTGACCTGAGGGATGAACAGGAATTAGCAGATGTACCTCAGTGGGAAATTATATTTAGCTGTGATTGTGGCAGGCACAAAACATGGCGAGGCTGAAATGCTTCAAAGAGGACTTCACTTTCAGTAAATCAGCACAAAGAGTGCTAGTTGCTACAGGCAAATTTTAGTTATATTATTTTATGGTAAATCAGATTTTATTGCGCTGTAGGCTGAATTGAGACACTGGTTTGGATACTAAGATATGGGTTATTCCTCGAGCTACTTCAGGCCCAAAATGAGATTAGGTCATGATGTGAAGTGTGGTCGCGTGGTGATTAGGTTGTCAGTTTAATAGTAGTGCAGAGAGACTTTGGTCTGGCATGACTACGTCAGGTTTTTCAAATCTGTGGGCCTAGCATAGCATATGCCAAGTTAAATGAGTGAAGGAATGAAAGGCAGATATAGAAGTTGAAGTAGCAAGATGGGTAGATTAGGAAAGGCAGAGAGAAGAAAGTGTTTAGGCAGGAGCACAATGGTTGGAATGAGCAGGACTGTGACAAGCGAAGCTCGACTCGCGCTGGAAGGCCATTTTGAAGAGTACTGAGCACTATAAAATGGGGCCAGATTTTAGAAGGCATTGAAAATCAATTTCAGTACTCTGATCTTGCTATAGTGGAGAGCCATTATAGACTATTAAGCAGGGGAGCATGCTTAGAGAAGTTTTTGTGGGGGAATTTGGCATGGCTGAATAGCATGGCCTGGAAAAGAAAGCAACATGGGGTATGGCTATCAGTGAGGAAGACTGCGGAAATATGCTATGCCGTGTCTGTGCCTCTTTAATTTGGAAAACTAATGTTTCAGGTAAGGATACAGACTTAAATTTTTTGTGTGTGTGTTTTTTTTAAGATTTTATTGGGGAATTGGGGAAGGGGGACAGACAAGTTGCTGTCCTTTTGTTGTTCAGTCTAGTTGTGGAGGACGTAGCTTCACTGGCCCATGTTGGTTTTATCATTGTGCTCTTCCCGGGTGAGGCAGTTGCCCGCCAGCCATTGGACGGCCACTCATGGTGGCTCACGGCAGCTCACGAAAGCTCACGCCCACTGCTGGCCAGCCCCACTGCAGCCTACGCTGTCGCCGGTGACTCAGGACAGCCCAGCTCCAGGTCGAGCTGTTGTTCACCATCTTAGTTGTAAAGGGTGCAGCGTCACTGGCCCTCATATGTGGGATCTGAACCCGGGCCCTGCTGCTCAGAGCTGGCATCCCAAGCCAACTCTTAACCAATGCGCCACTCGGCCAGCCCTTAGATGCTTTTTAATCATAGCTCTCATGGACCATTCCTTGGCTCTTTTGGTCCTTATTTATTCCTATTCATCTATACTTCCTAAATTCAGGTAATAGCTTTAGCACCAGATGCAGTGATACCTACGGATCTGAAAAATGAGAAGACACTCTTTGTGAAACTATCTTGGAATGAGAAGGAATTCAGACCACTATCTCCAGAACTATTTGCGGAATTGGATAAGCTACAAGAAGGCAGTCCTAGATGCCAGAAGCCTGTGGGAGCCAAGACTAAGAGCACAGAAAGCCCGTCTTGGACCACAGCAGAGCATATGGTCAAAAGGATTGAATCGAGGCACTCTACCTCCAAATCTCACCAAACTCCTATACACCCTGTCACCCCAAGGGCAAGGAAGAGGCTAGAGCTTGGCAGTAAGTGTGGAATGGGTCACAGTGGATAATACTGAGGCTAAAGCAATATGATAAAATATTAATTCATGCAACAGTATTAAGTTAGTTCAGAAGTGGGCCAGGCACTGAATGGACATGGTGAAATATACGTAACAAAATTTACCATTTTAATCATTTTTAAGTGTACAGGTTAGTGGCATTAAGTATATTCATTTTGATATACAACCATCACCATCATCTGCCAACCATTAAACAATAACTTCCCGTTCCCCCTTCCTCTGGCAGCCACCATTCTACTTTCTGTCTCTGAATATGACCACTCATGGTACTTCATATAGGTGGAATCATACAGTATTTGTCCCTTTCTGACTGCTTTGTTTAAGTTAGCATGATATCCTCAAGGTTTCTACATGTTGTATCACATTTCAAAATCCTTGTCTTTTTAAGGCTGAATTGCATGTAGGTATATACCACATTTTGTTCATCCATTCATTCATCTGAATGGACATTTGTGTTACTTCCACATTTTGGCTATTATGACTAATGCTGCTATGAATACAGGTATATAAATACCTGCTCATGTTTCTACTTTCATTTTGGATATATATCCAGAAGTAGAATTGCTGGATCATATGGTAATTCTATTTTTAATTTGTTGAGGACCCACCATACTGTCTTCCATAGCAGCTGTACCATTTTACATTCTCACTGACAATGCACAAGGGTTTCAATTTCTACACCTCCTCCCCAACGTTTGCTATTTTTTGTTTTTGATAGTAGCCATCTTACTAGGTGTGAGATGGTATATCATTATTGTATTTCTGTATGATTAGTGATAATGAGCCCTCCCTGTATTGATTGACCTATTTAAGATCTCTGCTACTAAGTAACATTACATTTAGACCCCTAGTGAAAGACCTAAGAAATACATATATTTTAAAACTCTTGAAATCATACTGATACTTCTAGTCTGCTGACCACAGGGCTCTTTTCCCTCCTTCCCATAATCCATAATGGTATCTCCTTCAGGAAGAAGAGCCGTGGTTCTCGGGAGCAATCCTGGTACATACAAAAGAGTTTCACAATAGCTATACCAATACTACTACCAGCAGAAACTTAACCAAGTGAAGTTCAAATTTTATTTGCAGTGCTTTATACCTGTAGAATATATTCCACTGAGGAAATAGTTACTTTGATTAAAGTTTTTCTTCTGATGGTTATATTATTGGTGATATACAGTTGGTTCTTTTATTTCTGTTTAAGTTTTAGGACTTTTCCCATTTTTCATTTAATTTTTCAGACATGCGAAACATTAACATGGTTAAAGAGTCAAAACTATTTAAAACAAGCATACTCAGAGAAGTCCCATTCCTTTCTTTACCCTGGTATCCTATTTCTACCATCTTTTGTAGCTGATTGATTTTATTAGTTTCTAGTTTATCTTTCCTATGTTTTTCGCAAAAATCAGCAGATATATATCAAGACACACACATACATAAATATAAACATATAATTTTATTTTCCATTCTTTCTTATTCAGTAGTATTTAGTAGGGTAGCACACTGGATATATTCTTTTCCGTCTTACTTTTTTCCCTTATAATGTATCTGAAAGCCACTCTGGCTGTTCTGAGCATTCATCCTGTTATGTGTCATTAGTCCTTTTGAAATTTTTGTGTACATGCCAATGTGTGTTTAGGAGCTGAACACAAATATATAAAACATTTAGAAAAATTATTAAAGAAATAATCTATAATATTGCCATTCAGAAATTGCAGTTTTTTTTTACTGTTGATTTTGCAGGACGTTGAAATTTAGAGTAAGAAATTGACACAGATATATAATTGGAGGAGGGAGGATATGACTAAAATATTTTGGATAAATTGTTTTTGACAGAAAAATGGGAAAATGAGGTATGAGGGAGGCCAGGACATTGGGACATTTTTATATTAATCAAGACCTGAGTTGTCCTCATATTTACCAAAATATTTAATAATTTTAGCTTCATTTTCAAAGACCTCTAAGACCTGGCCCTAGATAACTTTTTAAAGTCAGGATTACTGAGGTATAATTTATAAACAGCAAAATTTTCCATTTTAGTATATAGTTCTATAAATTTTTACATACACATAGAGCTGTGTAACTACCAATATAATTAAGATACAGAACAGTTCCATCACCCCCAAATTCTCTTGTGTTTTTTTGTAATCAACCAGCCCTTCCCTTCATTCCCAGCCCCTGATAGCCACTGATCTGTTTTCTGTCTATAGTTTTGCCTTTTCCAGAATGGCATATAGATAGACGCATACTGTATGTAGCCTTTTGAGTCTGACTCCTTTAACTTAGCATAGTGCATTTGAGATTCAGCCATATTGTTGAATATATAGTAATTTGTTCCTTTTTATTGCTATGTAGCACCCCATTATATGGATTTATCATAGTTTATCTACTCCCAGCTTAAGGACCTTTGTGTTCTTCCTAGCTTTGGGTGATTATGAAGAACGCCACTGTAAACATTCACATACAGGTACTAGATGGCTCTTCTTGTCTTTTCTGTAGCTACTCCCCACATACCATGTGTGGTGACTAAAGAGAACTCCTTCATGCCCAGTGCTTTCCTGCCTCATTGCCTTAGCTCACATCGATCTCATTTATTCATCTCATATCCCTTTTCTGTTCAACTCTGTTGAAATTTTGCCTTTCTTTCAAGCTCTATCTCAAAAGCTGTCTTTATTAGCATTTAGGTGAGGTCGGACAGTTATTTTACTTCATATTATAGGCATCCATGTATATCATCTCCCTTGATACACTAGAGTGTCTTCTGATTCGGGACCAGGACTGTCTCATTCAACTTATGTTTCCTCCAAGCACCTAGCACGTTGTAGCAGCTCAATTGATGCCTGTGAATGAATGCCTGGGTTCTTGGTGCCTGTGGTCATGGTGAGAGAGGAGCAAATCCAGACTGTTTCTGTGTATTCACTAAACCCAGCTGATTGCCCCCAGGGATCCATCTTCTCTCTATTGGTAGATATAATCTGGGTTAAGGAAAATCTAGGCCTTGGTGTACATTTTTTCAAATGCTGTTGATTGGGAGGCTGAGGATGTGCAGTATTACCCCTGGTTGAAAACCACTGTTCTGGTAGATTTCTTCAGAGAAATCTGATTAAACATTTATCTATAAAAGCTGATTTAATAGTTGACTTATGGTTCTAACTAGGAAAATCATCCATGGAATTTAGGAGAGAGACTACAAATAATATAGCTACCTGACCTGGGTAAAAAAAGAGTGAAATAGTTCAAAATATGGATAACTCATGGCTTTGTATAACTTCAGTGGACAAATTTAGCTATAATGAGATTGAGGGTGTGTATAGTGCTACTTATAAAAGTCACACATTGTGATTTCTCTTGGACTTAGGTTTCCCTAGGACACCTAACACTAAGATTTCCCAGGAATTGTGGACCTCTTCACATTCTCCCAAAAGAACTAAATGGGAAAAGGCCTTCTCTGCGACCACTACACCATCTAAGAGGTCTCAGCCTGATGTACTTCAGACCTTGTCTCCGGCTCTGAAAACCCCTGAGAAAACTAGAGAGCTTCGACGCTCTCGCACTGAGGACAAGGCAGCGTCACGGGAATGTCACATGATCCTGAGAGCCCGAGGCCCCCCTTTGAAAACCACAGAGATTAGTGAGGAAAGAACACTTCTCTCTCCCAGAGGAGGAAAGAGACCCTTGGCGGTGCCTTCTGTGATTCTGAAACCAGAAAAGATCGAAAAGAGGTGACCAGGACGTAACCCTGCCTCCTCCCACCGAGCAAATCGTGATTCTGCTCATGATGTGAAATGTGTGGTGTGGGTCAGTAAACGAAGTTAGAGCAGCAGGTCGTAAGTCTAAATGTGTCACAGAATCACCAGCTTTTCCAAAATATAGATTTCTGAGGCTCTTCCTAAGCAGAGGAAATCAATTTTGAAATGTTTGGGCCCAGGAATCTGCATTTTTGAAGTGCTTTTTGGATGATTCTGGTATACTCTGCTGTCGTTTAAGTATCACTTCTCCTGAAGATAATTTCCCAAACCTGAGTTGCTGCACAGTCCTAGATTTCATTACTTGCTATAGTTCTTTGCCACATTTTAATAGTTTTTTTCTTAGTAATTAACAACAACTGGAAACCATTCTCAAATACGTAATAGTATAAGAAGATAATGCATCTAGAACAAAGTTTGCAGTTTGACACTAGAGAGTGTATATAATGGGCTGCTCAAAAAATGTGAGAAGCAGAAATTATACATTTCAGCGTTTCCCGCTCAGAAACTCCAACACCTAGCTCATAATAGGTTTGCTTGATAAATGCTTTGTATTTAATATATAGCTGCATTTATGCTAGCCTTGAGCCTGGGTGGACAGTGAATTCATAGATGTGTCAGAAAAAAAAGAGGACAAGAAACTGCCTGGGATTAGTATATTCTGGTCTCTAGTTGTGGGGGGCGAAGGGAAGGGGAGGCTTGGTAAGTCTGATTTAAATGATAAGCTTTAAGCAAACTTTGATCTCTGGGTTTGAGTCAAACTTTAATTGTAAACTTTTTAGCAAAGTGTGATTAGCTCCTCCCAAAGTAGGAGAAGAATAGGAACCAGTCAGGCCTCCTTGACCATCTTCTAGTGCCTGCTGCTGATCCCTACTTCCCCAAACTTCTTTCTATAATCTTGCTATGATATCTTGCAGGGAGACAAAAGGAACCGAAGAAGCTCAGGATGAAACTACCTCTACCACCCGTCGTTTCCGCAGAAAGAGTTCTCTCTTGACTTTGAATCGGATTAGGCAACAGCTTCGGTAAGAGTGCTCGTGGGCAGGCAGAAAAACATCACTGCCATCTATGATATCTATAATTTTATTTCTTAAAGTCTCTTATAGTTCTTGTTTGTTATTTGCTATTCCATTGAAATTCACCTTTTAACTAGTATGTCTGGAATTATGTTCATTTTCCATAAATCTCATAGTTTGAAAGGGGCAAGAAACACTGCCCCAGGCTTACGTGGCTCCCAGGGCCCCATAATCATCACATCTAACAAGACTGTTAGTAGGGCACCTAAAAGCATGAACTTTGATTCTGATAGACTCAAATTTGAAACGGAGCTGTCATTTCCTATCAGTGTAACCTTGGGAAGTTTTCTTAACCTTTTGAATCCTCTAATAATATACACATCACAAAATAATATAAATAAAGCCCTTCACATAGCACCTCAGTAGCAAGGAAGTTACAGTAGCAAGGAGCACTTCCGATGTTGCTTAGCACGGGCGAGATCCTGCAACACCTAACGCACACTGATCTGTTAGGGAGCTTCTTCCTTAGACTTCAGACACTAAATATCGGAAAATAATGCATCCCACCCTTCAGGTTTTTAGATAATAATGACAGTGACCAGGAAGATGGAGAGCTTCTGCTGGCAGCAAAGATTTCATACTCTAGCAATGAGGAGGAAGAAGCTTCCACGCCTCCCCTTCGAAGGAGAACACCAGATTGTGTGTCCAGGAACCTACGCTCTTCTGTGAAATCGTCCCTACAGACCCCCTCCAGGACACCAAAGAAAACCGTAAGGCATCCCCCTCTTAATTTAAAAATTGCGATGATTGGGGTCACGCTATTAGTAACAGTTGGATTCCGAGTACAGGCCTGTCATATGCAAAGCTATTGCACCTGGAATAGTCGTACAGCAAAGGATCTGTGTGAACCCTAGGACTGAAAATGAATTCAGTAGACAGTGAACTTTGAGTCCAAGTTCCTTTTAAGATACAGAACCAAATGGCTAAAAGCTGAACTTCCGGAGGGAAGGGCAAGAACTGGTTCCTTGTCTTTGCATTTCCCACAGAATCCAGCAGAGTCTTTGCACGTAATCCGTGCTCAGTCGTCTGAGCCATGTTGGTTGTGTTGTGCCACTTGTACAGCTGAGAAACAGGGACCACCCCTCAGGTATTGGCAATGAATTGTGTAACAGTAAGATGGAAGAGATAAATGGATGTCTCTTCTGCTCCCTGTGGAACCACTGAAAGCTATTAAGAAAAGAGGGCCAAAGAAAACACAGAAAAGGGGCCTCCCCATGTTCAAGTATGTTTGAGAAATGTTTGAATTAAAGTTAAATTGGTTTCATTATTATGTGACTTCTCAAGGCCATTGATTCATTAATGTTATTGTGACCTTCAAAGAGAGCATTAGAGTGTGAGTCTGACCAGGAAGCTTTTTTTCAAGGAGTGTATTGTTCTTAGGGACACAATTTAGAAATGCCTAGTTAGGAGACTTTTTCTAAGCTGATCTCCCGTTTCCCATATCAAGAAAAATGTAAATAGGCTTGCACTCAAGTCAAAGACGTGTAGGGAAGTAAGTCTAATAGATCACTTTTGGACTTGAGGCCATGTTACCTGGAGTTCTTTATTATGCGAATAGCTTACCTTACCTAAATTTTGGTTTGATTATATCTCCTGGGTTCCCACTCAGAAGAAGAGATACAGGATGGAGGGCATCTTTAGCATAATAAAGGTCAGAAGTCCACAAAGTTTTTGATACCTTCTGAGGAAGGTTTTGTTACTGCTTTCCTGTTTTTTCCAAAGTTAATAGATGTTAAACCATTAAACAGGGTCTAAGTGCTTTCTGCCTGAGGAAGAGGTGGAAATATTGTTATCACTGTGTAGCCAGCCTGGCTGGAAGCAGAGGGTGGGTAAGTGAAATGCCCCCACAGAAGGGAGTCCTTTGTGGAAACTCCATGAAGGTAGCAGGCCTGCTCTTGTGAGCCAGTAGGAAGGAAAAGAAGATTAGGGCTGGTAGCCTAGACTGAGCAATGACCCTGGGGTTTGGAGTAGAAAAATCGGGTGCGGTTTCTCCAAGTACTATATTGTGGATTATGGAAGTCATGAGCTAAAGTTTGACCATGTTTTCAAACAAATGTAGAGGAGGCGCCTATGAATCAAACCCAGTTTATGCCTCCTAACTCTACCTTATATATGGGCAGAATAGTTAGGATTTCTTAATAATTGCTTGTCTTTCTTTCAAGATAATATTTTACTTTTAAATAGTATTTAATCCATACTTCCATTCATTCTTTTCTCAGGTTGACATTGTTTTCAAATACTAATACTGTGTGTAAATTAGGAAAAACAAATCGTGTTTGGACTATGAACAAAGTATATGTGTAATGTGAGAAGAGGGGGAGAATCATGGTACTTTATACTTATGTAAAGGAACTACCGTATTTGCCGGCGTATAAGACGACTGGGCGTATAAGACGACCCCCTAACATTTCCACTCAAAATACAGAGTTTGTTATATACTCGCCGTAT